TAACCACGCATTTCTCAGGAGGTATTCTAGTCATTAAGCTGAGCATAATCTATTACTCTGGCTAATTTGTTAGTTTTTTTTAACCTCGCCACCTCCCCACCCACATATTAATGGAAGATTGGTTTTTATTCACTTATTTATGCATTATCCTTTTACTTAATATAGATACACCAGCACAAGTAATTTTCTTTTTCATTTAGAATCATAGAAATCATGAGGATGGGATGTTTGTTTTGCAAACGAGGCCTCTGACAAAGTTAAATCTATTTTCCCAGGCTCAGGGAGCACCCAGGTACAGCGCCAGGTGAAAGTCAGCCCTCCAGCTCCCCAATGCACAGGCTGCTGTTGTGTTTCCTCTACTGAGATGACTCTTCGCTTTGCTGGGAGGAGAAGGGGAGAGCCGCCTGTTTACTAGCAAGCCTAGATTCACCCTTGGCTGCTGGGAGAGCCCGCGTCACTCACTGGTCACTTTCCCTGTAAAGAATCTCCTGACACCAGAGGGGACAGGGCCCTAGGGTGCCTGCTCCCTAGGCGGGGGTTGTATTGCCTGCAAGGTCATCAGCACACTGCACATTCAGTTTCTTTTAGGGTTCCATGTGGATTTTATATCGACCTTGGGAGTGCAAAAGGGGCGGCAGAGTGGTGCTTTATCCCGTTGGCCTGGCCCCCCATCTGCATCTACAGCCAATAGACAGGCAGATTAAAGGCCCTGCGAGGTGGCCCCGCCCTGCTTGTAGACAGGTAGCCGGCCTCGCCGTTCGTTGGTCAGCAGGCCTTCCAGGGAACTGGTCCTCGTTCTCCTATCCTTTCCCTACTCCTTCCTGGTCTGGCTGCTGCTGAGTTACTGACCAGCTCACGTAGTAGTCAATGAAGCATTCCGGAGGGTCCAAGTCTCAGACATGCGGGGAGTGTGGGAGGGGGGGAGTGGCGGGGGACGCTAGGGCGGGGGGGCTATGCGTGTATCTGTTTTCAGCCCTGTGCTGAGACCACATGCTGTTGATCCTGGGAGTGCATGAGTCATGGTGAGGATTCAGAATGTAGCATCTGGGAGGCTACTTGGTACATGGGTTTCCAAAGTGAAATTGTCAAAAGAATTTTCAGCTTTGTTGCCGTGCGGTAATTACACACACAGCAAGTATGTGGCCCTGCCTTCTAAACAAGGGCCCTTTTCTTGTGAGGTTACATCCGGGGGATGTTCCGGAAGAGTTGTAATTACTTTTTCATGTTCCCGATAAGAACATGACCTTTTAGCTCTTCACAATAAAGCACATGCTTTGGGCTTGTGGGTTTGGTGGCTTTAACATGTAGAGGAAGTAGAAACATGATGGAATTGCTATTGGAGGCAGCGGGAGCTTCGGGCTTTGTCCCCTTTCCCATGGCCTGACTCGGATGCTGAGCCTTGCAGGGCTGGGACGTGCGTGTGCTGCAGAGAGGAGGGGAGGGGCGGGCGGGTGGGAGGCAGAGCTGCCTGCACCAGCTGCATTACCTTCACAGGCCCAGCCCGCTGATATCGGTCTTCCCTGCAACACGTGACTGGTGATACTGACCCAGAGCAGTTGCTAAAATGAAAGATGCTACAGACTTAGAGAAACAGATAGGGCTCTGCTAGCAAGCCTGTGCAGGAAGAATGTCCCCTTTGGTTTAGGGTTTTAACATCAGAACATTTTCTTTTGATAAATTCTTGGCAAGAGAAGAAAGGAAGTGAAGTCAGGGAAGTTTGGCTTCCACCCTGCTCTCGGTCCCTCGCCTGTGTCTGCGTGCCAGCACTTCGTTTTCCCTCGGGCCCGGCGTTATCTGTGCAAGGGAGTAAATTGCTCGTTGTTCATGGAAGCCGGAGACCCCCGTTTCTCCCCTTGCCCACCCAATCCACGCGACTGTCACTGAAATACCTAAATGCGTCCTTCAAACTCACAATCTTATGTGCGTTGTCAAATGGCATGCCCATTTGAAAGTTCAGGGGTAGACTACCTAAGTCCCAGATAATAGCTGCATTCCCACAAACCAAGTCTAAATTGTGTCTTGCCTCCTTCGATTGATGTGTGGCATTAATTCAAAATCAAGTCATCTGGCTCAGTTGCTGGGTCCTCTTTAGTTGTTCAGGCGTGGGGGGAGTGGAGGGGGGCAGTGGGGAGAAGGAAGGAGAACCTTCCAGCTCCTAGAAGCTGTGTGGTAATGGGCAGGTGCAGGGGCCGGTGGCTGTAAACAGCAGGAAGCCGCCGCTCGGGCTAGAGCTCCTTTCTTCTCCCAGCAAATTCTCAACAAACCCAGTCACACATCAGGATCAACAGAATGGCCAAACAATTAACTTCTCCATAGCAATTGGATGAATAACTACCAGTGTTTGCCCAAAATCCAGAGGTCCCTCAACCCTGCAGCCGATGGGGTGGAACACTGTGCGGTGATGAGCAATGGGCTGAGGACTGTCTCCACAGCAAAGCGGAGTCTGCGTCAGGAGCATTCTCCATTCGGGGGTAGAATCTGACTCGATGGGTGTGGATGCGAGACACGGAGGAGTGAGGATAATTGAGATTTCTAGCTTGAGATGGGGGCAGAACAGGTACATCATTAAGGAAGAAAATGTAGGAAGAGGATTGGAGGCAACAAGATAATTAACTCTGTGGAGCCTGTTGAGTTTGAGATCCCTGGGGGGTCCTGCATGTAGAACCTTCTGGAAGGTGTAATAAATACAGTACTTGGATCAGTAGGTACAAAGTGAATTGAAACCATGTGGCATAGGAGGATGGCATAAAGAAGTAGCAAGTGAAGAGAGAAGATAACCACCGAAAGAACCCAGATAGCCTAGGAGGAGCCTGAGGAGGGGGGGTTGCCAAAGACGGCTGCAGAACTGACCTACAGAGGAGTCCAGGAGCCTGGAAAGAGGCTTCCGGAAGCTAAAGAACAGAGAACCAGGAGGTTTGGGGCCAACTAGCCCAGAGAGGTTGGCCAGGGACCGGAGTGGTGCTGCCTCGATGGTTTAGGTCCGTGGTCGGCACACTGCGGCTCGCGAGCCACATGCGGCTCTTTGGCCCCTTGAGTGTGGCTCTTCCTAAGCCTTAGGAGTACCCTAATTAAGTTAATAACAATGTACCTACCTATATAGTTTAGGTTTAAAAAATTTGGCTCTCAAAAGAAATTTCAGTCGTTGTACTGTTGATATTTGGCTCTGTTGACTAATGAGTTTGCCGACCACGGGTTAGGTCATTGGGAGGGTAATGGCAATCTTCCCCAGAGGCATGGCAGGAGTGTCAAGGATAGAATCCATATTTCAGTTCATAAAAGTGAGTAGTAATTAGGGCAATCTGCTGGCAATGTGTCTTCTGGCAGCCAAGAGGAAGCAGAGGGTTGCGGAATGAATGCTACTTCCAGCTGGACGAGAATGCAGTAGGTTACAGAGAGACAGGGCTTTGGGGAGACACTGAAGCAGGGCGGAGCTGGGGGCAAAACGGATGCTCGCCCTTCTTATATTTTAGAGAAGCTTTAATTGCCAAATGGGTCTGGGTGTGCTGCCTCCCCTGTGATGTAATGTGCAATACATGCTCCGTTAGAACCATGGGGTCAGTGGTGTGGTGTGTGTGGTGTGGGAGGGCCGCCAGGAGCTGGGAGGAGCCAGCCCCTCTGGGTCTACCTGCCTGACTTTTCTACCCTGTGGTAGCAGGTGCTTTCCCCCCTGCCTCTCCTTCCCCCTCCAAGATGCTTGATGAGTCAGAGATGGAGTCAGGAGTTCTGGAGGCTCCAGCTGCTTCCGCTGAGCGGGAAGCTGTTTCTCTCGTCGCCGGAGTGTGCTAGATGCATCCGTAGGGAATCACGGCCCTGCCTGACTCGTGGGGCAGGTGCTTTTCCCACTCCGAACGCTTCTCGCTTCCGGCAGGAAGCGTCATATCCAGATTGTTACCTTTTCTCTTCTTAACTCGTTCCTTTCATTTACTAGTAAGTTGGCTTCTGGCCACTCTGAACAAATTGGTTCGAAGACATTAGCCTAGTTGGTTGTTGAAAATCATGCTTTAATCGTCTCAGGGAAATTCTTCCCTGTCATCAGGTAACGTTCACAGATGTGCAGCAGTGTCTTCGTGTGGAGTGTAGGCTCCAGCTCGACTCCTGGGCTCAAGTACAGAGCTCGCTGTCCTGTGATCACTGGCATTAGACAAGGGATGCCGTTTCTTTGTGCCTCGAGTTCCTCTAGCTCTTTAATGCGGGTGACAATGGCCCCTGCCTCATACTCTGCCATGAGCATTAAATGCACTCAGCTTGGTGGACTGTGCTCAGTAAGCACTAGCTACTGTTATTATTACTTTTTTCTCTGCTATTTAAGTCTCTGGATTACCAATATCAACTAAACTATAAGGAATATGAATATATACCCAAATACTTGCTGAAAATGCCCACCCAGCATGTCTGGGGGGCCTTGGTCCCTCCCCTCCCTGCCTCTGTACCTGGGACCCTCACCTTCCCTTCTTCTGGATCATTTTCCCATTCTCACCTCCACGCGTGGGTCTCCTGCACGTTCTCATTTATGCCTTTCTCTTCCCGAGGGCTTTTCACACAGTTCCGTGCATGCTTCATGCTAAGGGCTCTTGGGAGCAGGAGCCTTGATTTTTGAGCCTAAGTCTTGCTTCTTACAAGTCTGTTAGTCCCCATTGTGGGGTGGACTTGGTTTCTTGAGCTTGTTACCACCGCGATCTCTGTGCTGTTCCAGTGACACTAACACGTGTGGATGGCGGGGAAGAAAATGTAAAATGAGACCAAATTAAAACGGTCAGAAAATCGTCTGCCCCATGTCTTCCAAAGTGCAAATGGAATTCACTGTCTGCAGAATGACTGGGGTCATGGCACAGCTTCCTGCCCGCGCTGATGCTGAGGCACCCAGAGCAGGAAGAGGTAGAAATGGGCAATTGGGAAGGAAGACCTCAATTTTGATACGTTGTGACCTAGGGCTTGGACGTTTTCCAGTTATGTTTTCAGTGCTCACCCTTTGGTTTCCAATCCCTTGCCTCTGCCTCCAGGGAAGGCCGCTCAAACGCCCACATCCGAGGAGATTACCAAAGAATTGGGGACGTCATGCTGAAGAACGTTCAGGCCATGAAGGTGAGCTGCTTTGGGGGCGGGGCAGCCCTCCGTAAGCCTTTCCACGAACACGCGGTGCCTGGTGTGACCATCCGTGCCTACCACAAAGTGGGGTAAACTCTTCTAGCCTTTCTGGATCATTTCATTTTGGCGCATAACAGAAAATCCAGTTACTTTGGGGGAAGAAGCACTTTTGTACAAAAGCTCTGTGTTATAACCAAGACAACAGGTATTTTTAGCAAGCAGGTCATTCAAAGCTGTGTAGCCCTGGCCGACGTGGTGCAGTGGTTGGAGTGTCGTTCTGTACAGTGAAAGTTCAGGTTCAGTCCCCAGTCAGAGCACATGTGGGAGGCATGTCTCTCTCTCTCCTCTCACTTCCTCTCTCTCTAAAAAAACAAAAATTATTTTTTTAAAGACAAGATTTTTTAAAAATTGTGTAAACAAAGCTTTGATTGACTGAACATTTCATTTTTTGTCAATTGTTTTGGCTTTGTAAGCTTGACAAAAATACTGGTTTCAAAGCTGCACAGCAATTCCAGTCAAATCTGTGACTTTAAACAGTCAGTGTTCAAGGCAAATGTATCTGTAGCCATCCAGCAGTATCCACAGTGATGCGGAAGAATGAAAACTTGCCCGAAGAAGTCAGTGCATATTGAGTCAATATTCTGCCTCGTTTTTGAAATCAGCCCAATCTCTTATATCTGAAACTTTCATTTTTGCATTTTCATTTTAACCCATGAGTAATTCCTTCAACATAGAATATTTTAACTCACACAGTTTATCTTTTGAATACAAATACATCTACGTTCGCATTTTAAAGCAACTGTCCTGTATCGTGGCTGCCCAGATCCTGTCTAATAACCTTAACTAAGAACTACTCAGAGCAAGGTGCCAACCCCCAGGAGAAGGCAGGTTGCTCATACTTTCACCATTTCAGTCTGTCCAATCATTCGTCTGTCCATCTATCCATCCAACCGGTACTAGCTGAGGAGCTACTGCATATAAGGCACTCATGGAATAAAAGTTACTGTATTAATTCCCAAAAAATCTGGCTAAATTATTTCTAGTTCAGTGTTTTCCCTTCAGAATTATATAATCTCATGAGATAGGATGAGGGGAGGATTTGTGGGGGAGGGGATGCACTGCACAGAAAAGCTTCTCAGGAGATTTCCTGTTTCTCTTAAAGATCAAGATATTTACTTGCCCTTTGCTGGTTGGGCTTATTGGTTAGGACGTTGGCCCATGGAATGAAAGGTCATGGGTTTGATTCCAGTCAAGGGCACGCACCTCGCTTGCAGGCTTGATCCCCGACCCTAGTTGGGGCACGTGCAACAGGCAACCAATCAATGTGTCTCTCACATTGATGTTTCTCTCTGTCTCTCCCTCTCTCTTCCATTCTCTGTAAAATCAATGGGAAAAATGCCCTCAGGTAAGGATTAACAGCAACAAAAAAGATGATTTAACAGACCCTGAGATATAGCTTTCTTTTTCAAGGGGTTCGAAAAGCCACACTCCTCTCTTTAGGCAATATCAGAGAGAGGCCATGGAACTGATCAGGATTGCAAAAGTCCATGCAAAAAAAAAGTATCTAGGGTGTTCTATAACTATGGTATTGTTAATGTCACAAGTGAGGTTGCCGTACAAAACTCAGATGTAATAGTAACAGACATCTTTTCACTTCCCATGGTGGTTTTTAAAAATTTAATATGTATTATATAATAACTATAATATATAATTCTATATTCTCACCATCGTTGTGGGGGCACATACACACACACACACACACACACACACACACACACACACGCTCACACACAGCCTCCCCTTTTACTAGTACATCTTGTGGGGCAAACTTGCTACAACTGATGAACCAATATTGACACGTTATTAATTAAATCCATAGTTTACATTAGGATTCACTCTTTGTGTTGTACATTCCACGGATTTTACCGAGTGCATAATGTCACGTACCCACTGTGACAGTGTCATACAGGAGTTTCACGGCCTACAAGTCCTCTGTGCTCCCCCTGTTCACCCCTCACTTCTCCACCCCTGGCACCACCCACCTTTAACTGTCTGCAGGGTTTGGTCTTTACAGAATGTCACAGAGCTGAAATCACTGCACAGCCTTTTCAGGCTGCTTGTGTCGCTCATTAAAAACACCCGTTTGTTCTCTTCTGTGACGTGTTTTTGTTGGTGTTGTGCCTCCCAATTATTTTCTTGTAGGAAGCCTCTTCTCCCAGGTTCTGCGCTTTTCCTCGGCCCAGTTGGGACTTTTGCCTTTTCTCAGTGTGTTCCCTTCATCTGAGATCATAAGCCCACACTTACTCCCTTCATGGAGGCTGGGACTCCGCCCTGGGCCTCTGGGGACAGCAGTGGAGACTGGCCGTTCATTCCACTGCCCTCGGGGACCATCCCCAGAGCACCCCTGTTCACAGCTCTCCTTGTGGCCCCCTCCGGCGGCGGCTGGCTTCCCGGAGAGCTGACATTCAATAGACATCCAGCCTCCTCTCCATTCACATAGCACCTAAGACCTAAAAATAGACCTGATTTCCACTCATAGCAGTTCTTTCTCCTCAGTCTGGTGAGTTAGCGTTTTTGCATTTAGTCAGCTTCCTCTGCTGTGCTGGCGTTTTCCTTATTGTGCCAATGCCATGAGGTTTATAGCACAGAGCTCTGTGCAAACAAAACAAAAATAGATGGAGAGGCTCAGAGAGCCACTCGCAGACTTTTGGAGGAATTGGGGTTTTTAAAAATTATTGTGGTTGTTATTGCTGGTTGTAAGGAATTTTTATGACGTGTGGAAGGGAGCAGCAGAAGATGCCGAAGCCCAGGGTAGCACTGTTGTCCCCAGTGTTAAGGTGATCTCCTGCTTGCACTGTCTTTCCCGCCCATTCCAACCTATGTGTTTATCTGCAGCCATAGAGGCTCAGCAGGGATGCGGCCCTTACCTCCGGCTGTTCCCAGACCCTCTCTCTGCACAGGACTGAGGGAGCTGGGCGGGGCTCCAGTCCCCACCCGAAAGCCAGAGAGAGCCAAATCGTGACTTTTGGCCCACGCAGTGACCTTCCACTGGAAACATCTGCCCATGTGCACAAAGGCACTTCAACACAAAGAAAGGAGGTCCTCGCCTTTCACCTTGACCCTTCACCCACCACCCAGGCTGGGTTGTGTATCTCCCCAGGCCTCCACCTCCTGGCCTGTCTGCTTCTTAAACTCCTGCCACATTACTCCTTCCTGGCTCTTTTCTCTTTCCCGATGACTCGCCAGCTTCCTCATGAGTCTCCTTGCCTCCCACTGAGCCTTTATACCAGCATTTATATTACAGCCAGACTGACGGGCTCACAACCCTCCTTGTCTCTCTGCGGTTGGGAGGATACAGGCCAAACCCTAAACCTGGTGAGAAAGCCCTCACACTCTAGCCCTGGACAGTCTTTCCAGACCCCTTCTCACCGTTCTTCCGATTCTACTCCGCGTTCCAGTGACCGTGCGCTCACCTCTTCACGCACTCAACCCTTGCAGGACTCCTGCCTCAGCTGCTGCATGCGTTGGTCCGTTTGTCCAGTAATGCATGCAGGCCACAGACATTTACTGAGACCTACTGTGTATATCAGGCCTTGAGGATGTCAAACAGGACTGCCCATGTGATAGCATTGCATTGAACTACATGCATGCACACACACGCACACATATACGTGCACCTGCACACACAAGTGAGGGCATGTATAACTAACTGGTGGAATCCAAATAAACCCTGAGGGTTGCACCAGTGTCAGTTTCCTGGTTGCACTATTGTGCTATTGTTATGCAAGGTGTTACATTCGGAAAGCCAGGTGAAGGCGCATAGGACCCCCCTGTACATTTCTTTGCAACTTCCTCGTGAATCTATATTTTTTAAGAAGTCACAAAATAAACTGT